ATTCTGATAGAGGGCCACGAGACTTTGACCTGAGTGCAAAAATGGAGGCTCTAGACCCTTTCAGAGCTGAGATATCGAAATTCAAAATTTCGACCCGAAAAAAAAAACGACAGTGTTACCCCTTTCGTTTTTTTTCGTTTTCGGGCGAAAAATTAAGTTTCTCCAATCTTCTTAAAACTCTGGATTCTGATAAAGGGCCACGAGACTTTGACCTGAGTGCAAAAATGGAGGCTCTAGACCCTTCCAGAGCTGAGATATCGAAATTCAAAATTTTGACCCGAAAAAAAAACGACAGTGTTACCCCTTTTGTTTTTTTCGTTTTCGGGCGAAAAATTAAGTTTCTCCAATCTTCTCAAAACTCTGGATTCTGATAGAGGGCCACGAGACTTTGACCTGAGTGCAAAAATGGAGGCTGTAGACCCTTCCAGAGCTGAGATATTGAAATTCAAAATTTCGACCCAAAAAAAAAAACGACAGTGTTACCCCTTTCGTTTTTTTCGTTTTCGGGCGAAAAATTAAGTTTCTCCAATCTTCTCAAAACTCTGGATTCTGATAAAGGGCCACGAGACTTTGACCTGAGTGCAAAAATGGAGGCTCTAGACCCTTCCAGAGCTGAGATATCGAAATTCAAAATTTCGACCCGAAAAAAAAACGACAGTGTTACCCCTTTCGTTTTATTTCGTTTTCGGGCGAAAAATTAACCCCCTGAGCCCGACGGCGTCGTCGACGATGCCACACGTCACCTCCGATAAATGTTTACATAACTCGATGACAGATTTATCGATTTTCTTACCGTTTTTTCCAGCAGAAAGCTAACGAGCTAGCCATCACGGGGGTGTCTTTCGGGTCTTTCTAGCCTTTACAGAAGGTTTTCTATCCAGCCTGGAACTTGTGCTTCCTTTCAGAGGTTTTCAGCAATAAATCCAAACGCTTTATGTCAAACTTTGATAATCTTAAAGCCCATTATTCATAAATATTCGGTCATTTTTGCCGCTAGCTCGATGCTAGCGGACATCCTGGATATCACGTGATGTTTTCACGTGATGGTTTTTGACCAATTACAGGCTGATCCGTTGTAAACATTGGTGTGCGTCATTACGCATGAACCAAGCGCTGATATAGTGTAGAGAGATAGAGAGACTCACGGAGACGCGCGATTCACAGAGAAACACAGCGAAATGGACGTAAATAAAGCCCTGGTCTATTTTGGTGCATTGCAGGATGAAGGATTTTCAGGAGAACAGAGCTTTTTGACAGATGAGGAACTAGATTACCAGGATAGACCCAGCTGAAGTGCCATTTATTTATTTACTGTAAAAAAGAATTATAGTAGTATAAATGTATTATAAAAGAATAAAAAGAACATAATAAATAAAAGAATAAATAAAATAGAAATGCAAAACCTGTGATGTGGCCCTCTGTGTGATTGCTGATAGGAACTGTTTTGAGGCTTGGCACCAGTGAATTTCATGAGGCCCCAAACGCCTGGACTTCTTTTGGAAAAATGTCAATATTTTTTGTTCTGTACAAGTTATAATGTTTATTCCTGTGCTCCAGGACTCCAAAGACATGAACAAACTATTTTCCAGAGGAAAATTGCTTAGCTTTTATTTATTTGTGTGTGATTTCAATAAATAATTTAGTGATTCCATTTCCGATTTATTTTTTCATTTGTCTTTATGGTCCCATAACTTATTTTACATTCAGGTGACATCAATGTAACACAAATATGCTGAAAGTTCAATTTGTCCTGAAAAAAAAGAGGTGTGTCAATTGTCTGTGCACCAAAGGGTTGATATTTTACAAGCTTTTTTAGTAAATGACACCAGACGGAAAATTTATTGTAAAAATACCCTTAGGTCTCAGAGGGTTAAGTTTCTCCAATCTTCTCAAAACTCTGGATTCTGATAAAGGGCCACGAGACTTTGACCTGAGTGCAAAAATGGAGGCTCTAGACCCTTCCAGAGCTGAGATATCGAAATTCAAAATTTCGACCCGAAAAAAAAACGACAGTGTTACCCCTTTTGTTTTTTTCATTTTCGGGCGAAAAATTAAGTTTCTCCAATCTTCTCAAAACTCTGGATTCTGATAAAGGGCCACGAGACTTTGACCTGAGTGCAAAAATGGAGGCTCTAGACCCTTCCAGAGCTGACATATCAAAATTCAAAATTTCGACCCGAAAAAAAAAACGACAGTGTTACCCCTTTCGTTTTTTTCGTTTTCGGGCAAAAAATTAAGTTTCTCCAATCTTCTCAAAACTCTGGATTCTGATAGAGGGCCACGATACTTTGACCTGAGTGCAAAAATGGAGGCTCTAGACCCTTCCAGAGCTGAGATATCGAAATTCAAAATTTCGAGCCGAAAAAAAACGACAGTGTTACCCCTTTCGTTTTTTTCATTTTTGGCGAAAAATTAAGTTTCTCCAATCTTCTCAAAACTCTGGATTCTGATAGAGGGCCACGAGACTTTGACCTGAGTGCAAAAATGGAGGCTCTAGACCCTTCCAGAGCTGAGATATCGAAATTCAAAATTTCGACCCGAAAAAAAAACGACAGTGTTACCCCTTTAGTTTTTTTTTCGTTTTCGGGCGAAAAATTAAGTTTCTCCAATCTTCTCAAAACTCTGGATTCTGATAAAGGGCCACGAGACTTTGACCTGAGTGCAAAAATGGAGGCTCTAGACCCTTCCAGAGCTGACATATCAAAATTCAAAATTTCGACCCGAAAAAAAAAAAACGACAGTGTTACCCCTTTCGTTTTTTTCGTTTTCGGGCAAAAAATTAAGTTTCTCCAATCTTCTCAAAACTCTGGATTCTGATAGAGGGCCACGATACTTTGACCTGAGTGCAAAAATGGAGGCTCTAGACCCTTCCAGAGCTGAGATATCGAAATTCTAAATTTCGAGCCGAAAAAAAAACGACAGTGTTACCCCTTTCGTTTTTTTTCATTTTTGGCGAAAAATTAAGTTTCTCCAATCTTCTCAAAACTCTGGATTCTGATAGAGGGCCACGAGACTTTGACCTGAGTGCAAAAATGGAGGCTCTAGACCCTTCCAGAGCTGACATATCAAAATTCAAAATTTCGACCCGAAAAAAAAACGACAGTGTTACCCCTTTCGGTTTTTTTTTCGTTTTCTGGCGAAAAATTTAGTTTCTCCAATCTTCTCAAAACTCTGGATTCTGATAGAGGGCCACGATACTTAGACCTGAGTGCAAAAATGGAGGCTCTAGACCCTTCCAGAGCTGAGATATCGAAACTCAAAAATTCGACCCAAAAAAAAAACGACAGTGGTACCCCTTTCGTTGTGTTTTTTTTCGGGCGAAAAATTAAGTTTCTCCAATCTTCTCAAAACTCTGGATTCTGATAGAGGGCCATGAGACTTAAACCTGAGTGCAAAAATGGAGGCTCTAGACCCTTCCAGAGCTGAGATATCGAAACTCAAAAATTTGACCCCCAAAAAAACGACAGTGGTACCCCTTTTTAAATGCAAAACACCTTTATTATTTTCAAGGTGAAAATGATTCATTTGCCTCGATCCACGCCGAAAAAAACGTCTAAATGTCCCCCAGCTCCTTGTTTAAGCAAAAGGTACGCTAAAACAACGTATTACATCGACGTTAATAGTGCTTACAGATTAGACATTAGTATGTGTTCGCTGCATTTGTAATGTTATACTTTTAGAATAGGTTAACATCCGGGTATCTCTCCACTGGAATGTGTTAACGCAAACGTGTGATTTTCACGTTTGAGGGGGTTAAACCGTGACATCTACACGTTTTCCAAAGTGGACCAACGTGATTATTTCACGTCTTGTCGTGATACCGGAGGATCCCGTATCAACCGCGATCTAATCCTGCTAACATAATAACAAGTCTATGACATAATAAACCTGCTCGCGAGCAGGTTCAAGCTGACGGACCTGTTGCTATGACAGCAAGTCCAGGAGGAGCGTCAAAGAACTAAACAATCCAAGATCATGGCAAATCGCTAACAATCAAATCCAGCTAACTAAGTTAGTGACGTACGAAGAATGGGCCCCAGAACTCCATTACGAGCTGTCCTCTATCACTTTTTTAATGGATAATCAGAATCGAGTATTCACCTAGCATGGTATATTATATTATATTATATTATATTTAGGGCTGTCAAACGATTAATCACAATTAATCGCATCCAAAATAAAAGTTTGTGTTTACATAATATATGTCGGTGCACTGTTTATAATTATTTTGTATATAAATACACACACATGCATGTATATTTAATCATTTGACAGCCCTAATTATAATATTATATTATATAACGTGGCGGTTGAATACTTGAATCTGATTGGCTGATGAAGATTGTAAGGTCTTACAACCTAAAACAGCAAAAGCACCAAAACCCACAACGAATAAAACATGGAATTTTTAAGTAGAAAAACTGAAATAGTTATTTCTAGTAAAAGGTATGCCAATAATATGTATAACTTTCTACAGTGGAACAATCATTCAACATTCAGTGATATGGCTTCTCTGTCATGTGTCTAACAGTAAAGCCAGGAGTGTGTCCAAGGACAAAGAGTGCATCTTTTTATAAAAGACAGGGTCAACAGGTTAATGATATCATTTAATCAAACTTAATGAAGAATAAAGAATCAACAATATTTACAATATATTCAGCACAGGGTCTCAAAGGTTGTTAAATACATGCATTAAATCAATTCTTCAATTCATGTGGTCACGTAGCATGCATAATTTCATTGCACTGCAAACCTCAAAGCCATATAAATCATGTAAATACCACACCAATAAATACACACCAAATATCACAGCTTATACCATCACATAGAAGAAAACACAACATAAATCCAGGCCTGGCCTTTCTTGCTCTTCACTGTCGTCGCTCCTCTTTTTATGCTTCCGCTCCTCCGTGAGAGATACGAGACCTGTGATCACTCAGGTTAGAGTGAAAAATCATTCAGCATTCAGTGATTTGGCTTCTCTGTCATGTGTATAACAGTAAACCCAGGAGTGTGTCCAAGCAGAAAATATGAACCAGCAATGTGTACCCTGATACGATTCGTGCCGTGTGCCGATGACAGTGAGTGTGCCAACAATCAGAAATGCTGCAACAATGGATGTGGACTTCAGTGTATGGATCCAGTTACAGGTATAATATAATATTTAATTATATTACATTACATTATTATTTAGTGCTGTCAATCGATAAAACAAATTAACTAATTAATCATTCTTTAAAAAGTTCTTATATATTTTTATACAGACCATTTCGCAAGATGTAAACAACACTGGTCCAGAAGCACTTCCTGTTTCAGTTTTTTAACATAAAAGCTGGGATAAAATACAACCAACAGAACATTTAAAACTGAATCAAAAAGTTAAACAAACATCTTTAAGATGTTTTCTTTACATGTGAAATAAAGAAAACAGTTACAAACTGAAACAGGAAGTGCTTCTGGACCAGTGTTGTTTACATCTTGTGAAATGGTCTATAGGTTGTTGATTCTAAGGTGTGCAATTATTTTCATTGAAACACGCGGCTAAAGTAGTTCCAGGCAGGTCTTGACCACATTACATAACACTTCGCCAAATGATTTCAGTTATTTCAAAGGTTCTTCAAGCCTACAACAACAAAAGCACCAAAACCCACAACGAATAACATGAAATTTTAAAGTAGAAAAAAGACTGAAATAGTTATTTCTAGTGAAACATATTCCAATAACATAAAGGTACAACTACCAAAATTATTTTTTTCTACAAGTGAAAATTTCATTCAGTGTTATGGCTTCTTTGTCATTTGTCTGTATAACAGTGAAGCCAGGAGTGTGTCCAAAGACAAGCAGTGAAATAATGTGTGTCAGGAAGGATGACGAGTTGTGTGCCGATGACAGCGAGTGCCCCAACAATGAGAAATGCTGCGGCACTGCATGCGGTGGAACTTGGTGTACGGCTCCAGTTACAGGTATTATATTATACTCTATTGGATTGGATTGTGTTATAATATAGTGCTGTCAATCGATTAAAAAATTATTAAATAATTAATCACACATTTTTCTGTAATTAATCGCGATAAATCATTCTTTAAAAAGTTCTTTATATATTTTTATATTGTTATAATTTCACATTTAATGTCCAAATGAATGTAGACGCAACAAAAAGACAGAAGAAAATATTGAAAACTTTTGTATAATGGCATCTTTTTTTAAAAAAAAAGCTGTTAAAGGCACATAATATAATTGAAGTCTATTAAATTTAACATTTATTAGGCTTTATAAATTTAACAACTTTTAAGTTAGGTGAACTTAAAACAATCTTCACATAAACCCATTATAATGAATGTCACATTTTCCAGCCCTTCAATATATCAGAGCTCAATTTTTAATATCGGCCCAGTCAGACCACCTTCGATTTTTACTTGCCCTGCTAAAATGCACAAAAAGTTATTGTTTTGGTCGTTTTTGATCCATGCAACTTTGTAAACAGTGCTTTATGATTTCAAATAACGTAAATACCACACCAATAAATACAAACCAAATATCAGGACATACCATCAATGCTAATAGAGTTGCCACTCACCTTATTTGGGATGCGCAGCTTATACCATCACATAGAAGAAAACACAACATAAATCCAGGCCTGGCCTTTCTTGCTCTTCACTGTCGTCGCTCCTCTTTTTATGTTTCCGCTCCTCCGTGAGAGATACGAGACCTGTGAGTCGCTCAGGTTACTGTGAAAAATCATTCAGCATTCAGTGATTTGGCTTCTCTGTTTTGTGTCTGTACAACAGTAAACCCAGGAGTGTGTCCAGGCACTAGATATGGAGCAGAAGAGTGTACCTGGATAAAATTCGCGTCGTGTGCCGATGACAGTGAGTGTGCCAACAATGAGAAATGCTGCAACAATGGATGTGGACTTCAGTGTATGGCTTCAGTTACAGGTATTATATTTTATTATATTACATTATTTAGTGCTGTCAATCGATAAAATAAATGAACTAATTAATTCGCACATTTCTGTGCAATTATTTTGAGGGAAACACACAGCTAAAGTAGTTCCAGGCAGGTCTTGACCACATTATGTTCATGTCCATAACACTTCGCCAAATGATTTCAGTTATTTCAAAGGTCCTTATAGCCAACAACAGACAAATAAAACATGAACTTTTTAAGTAGAAAGACTGAAATAGTTCTTTCTAGTAAAACATATTCCAATAACATAAGGATACAACTTCTGAAATATTTTTTTTTCTACAGTGAAAAAATCATTCAGCATTCAGTGATATATTCTCTGTCATGTGTCTGTATAACAGTGAAGCCAGGAGTGTGTCCAAAGACAAACAGTGAAATAAGGTGTATCAGGAAGGATGACGAGTTGTGTGCCGATGACAGCGAGTGCCCCAAAAATCAGAAATGCTGCGGCACTGCATGCGGTGGAACTCGGTGTACGGCTCCAGTTACAGGTATTATATTATATTATACTCTATTGTATTGTATTATAATATATAGTGCTGTTAATCGATTAAAAAAACAAATTAATCACACATTTTTCTGTAATTAATCACGATTGATCCTTCTTTAAAAAGTTCTTTATATATTTTTCTATTGTAATAATTTCACATTTATTGTCCAAATGATTGTAGACACAACATAAAGACAGAAGCAAATATTTTGAAAACCTTTGTTTAATGGCATCTTTTTATTAAAAAAGGGCCATTAATTTTAGCCATAATTACAGGCATTCAGCATTACAATATCATCTATCAAATTTAAAGGGCAGATCTTGGCCACATTATGTATGATTACATTGAAAAATTAATCTCTGTCATGTGTCTGTATAACAGTAAAGCCAGGAGTGTGTCCAAAGACAAAGAGTGAATTGGTAAAGTGTATCATGAAGGGAAAAAAGTTGTGTGCCAATGACAGTGAGTGTCCCAAAAATCTGAAATGCTGCGGCACTGCATGCGGTGGAACTCGGTGTACGACTCCAGTTACAGGTATTATATTATATTATATACTCGATTGGATTATATTACATTGTTTTGTTTATGATATAAAGTGCTGTCAATCGATTAAAAAAACAAATTAATCACACATTTTCTCTAATTAATTGTGATTAATCGCACCCAACATTCAAGTACTTAATATATTTTTATGTCATAATAATTTCAAACTTAATCAACAAATTAATGTAGAAACAACATAAAGACAATAGTCAATATTGAAACATTTGTTTAATGGCATCTTTTTATTTTTAAAAAAGGCCACTAATTTTAACCATAATTATAAGCATTACAGTATCATTTTAAAGGGCAGGTCTTGACCACATTATGTTCATGTCCACATCATTTCACCAAATGATTTCAGTTATTTCAAAGGTCCTTAAAGACTACAACAGCAAAAGCACCAAAACCCACGACGAATAAAACATGAAATTTTAAAGTAGAAAGACTGAAATAGTTTCCTTTCAGTCGAGAACGTCAGAAGTAGTCGACGTGGACTGAATGGGGTTCCCTGGTGTGATCTCGCCATTGAGTAGACGTCGACTATGTCCTCCGTTCCCCCCTTCAGGGAACGGTGGGTCACATACGCAACCAGGACGTTGTTTCTAATAAAACATATTCCAATCAAATAATATTTAGGTACAATTTCCAAAATATTTTTTTTTTTTACAGTGAAAAATTCATTAAGTGAAATGGCTTCTCTGTCATGTGTCTGTTTAACAGTAAAGCCAGGAGTGTGTCCAAAGACAAATGGTGAATTAATAAGGTGTATCAGGAAGGATGACGAGTTGTGTGCCGATGACAGCGAGTGTCCCAAAAATCAGAAATGCTGCAGCACTGCATGCGGTGGAACTCGGTGTACGGCTCCAGTTATAGGTATTATATTATACTCTATTGGATTATATTGTATATTGTATTGTATTATAATATATAGTGCTGTCAATCGATTAAACTAAACTAATCACACGTTTTTCTGTAATTAATCGTGATTAATCATTATTTAAAAGTTCTTTATATATTTTTATATGTTGTGTCCAAATGAATGTAGACACAACATAAAGACAGCAGCAAAGATTTTAAACATTTGTATAATGGCATATTTTAATAAAAAGCTACTACTGGAGTAAAGTAAAACTACTAACCGAAGTAAAGTAAAATGACGCCGCTGCTGAGAAACTAGTTCCTGTAAATGTAATGTGATTTGAGATGTAAAAGTACTTTGATTTCTAACATTATTCTCTCAACAGACATTTACATCGATAGCCTGGCGTTATAATTTATTTGATTTTGGTCTGATATTGTGGGTAAAACTGCACCGTTGAAATATGCAACTGGAAGGACTGGACTTTTTTTTTTTTGGAAAACTGTCTCTACTGTTAAATAACACCCAGGCTAACTTGAAAATGATCCTGACCTGAACCACGCCTTTAATGTCACTAAATGGCCAGACTAAATCTAAATCTCTATCCATACAGTCTAGGTGCCCAACTGAAGCGAATCCAGTGAGTGGTCAGTGCCCTGCCGGACACAAATGATGCTCATCCACCTGTGATCATGCATGCAGTGACGCTGTGCCGATTTAATCACCGGAAAGAGTTGTGGGAATGATTTAGCATAATGCATATATGAATTATTTTACTTAAATCAAATCAATACTTTTTTTTTCTTGCATTAGTGTGTTGAAATAACGGATGCATATGGACATGGCTAGACGGCTAACTAAATATAACAACCCCATGTCCTTAGGAACAAGCTGAAGTAATCAAAAAAAAAAAAAAACTAATTTGCTTTTCTGGGGCGGTTTCTGAATTACACATGCATAGAACTGATTACATTAGAGAATGATGATGTAACGAGTCCTGTTAACTTTGCCATGCACCTATCCCTAAACTGCTGTATCGTTTTTAGTTTGATATGAGGTCCTCTCGGCCATGATTAAAGCATCTTCAACAGGCATCGATTGGAGTCTTTCTGTCAGGCTAGACACTAGAGATCTCACTTCTATTCTCAAGTGATAGTGTGTTAAGTAGAACAAGTGTAGAGCCATCTAGTAGAGTACACATTTGAAGTGTCTAAAAGCACCAGTTTAATTTAAGTCAGGTGCATAAGGTAATTTCTACCACTATACGTATAGGCCTATATATTATTGATTTTGAGAAGCCCTGGCAGCTACAAATCCCACTTGTCTAAAATCCACTTCATAACACCATACCTTGAACATCAGTCTCTTCTGGCTAGGACTGTATCATGTTGTCCAGCAGTATCACATTCCTTCTGCACAGACAAATTGCTTCCTGCTGGAAGTGGAAATGAGTTTTGCATTGGGCCTAGTTAGGACACAGTGTAACTGCCATACTTGCATCTGTAGTGGCAGAAATAGGTAAAAGCAGATGATGGTACGACTTGTATAGTTTGATTTGATCAGTGGTACTAGTGAGTTACTACAAATCTGTTTTCATTCTGAAAAAAAACAACAACAAAAAAACACGTTCAACATGTTATGGGTTTCCAGTTAATTTATTATTGGAAAGTTAACCAGTGTTAAAAGCTGTTTCAGAATTTGAATTCAATAGCACACAGTCTGAAAGCCATTATTTGGTCAGCCCATGGGAAAATGCACAACAATAGACAAAACACTAAAAAAATAGTCCAGTCCTTCAAAACAACACATATTTGAATATCAGTGCATTACAGAAAGTGGAAAATACGTGCCACATCAATTTTCAGTAGTTGGATTGTAGTGTATGTTTCTGTGACACTTGGTCGCACTCTCAAAGAGGTGGTGGACACAGATTACTTACCATCACGCTCTTCCATGTATATTTATCCTAGAAGCCCGATCCATGCAGTTCCTTTGAGAAACGTTCACGTGACAGCAAACTATGGTTTTATAAAAACATAGCAACATACATACAACAAAACATAAAAAGGTGGCTAATCTTTGCTTATGTGACTCACAAAACAAAAACATTAAAAAGGTGGCAAATCCATCTGTCTTGGAAGCTCACTTGTTCAACAAAAGTTCAGAAAAGTCACTAGGTACCGTGTCCTTCCAGGGCTGAAAAGCATCTTTAAACTCCATCAGATGCTGTTTTAGAGTCATGATTCTCTCAGCTGCTTAATATGGACATTTCCGGCATCAGACCTGCTCTCGGCACTCAGGTCAGCAGTGGCACTCCTCTTATGCGACGAACGAGGTTGGCCAACCGTTTGGCGAGCGGTGGACTCGGTTCATCCACCTGGAACGTACGGGTCAGCAAGTTGTAAAAGGAGCCGTAGCCGACCGCGACCACTGTGCAGGTGAGGCAGATGACGTTGTAGGGCATGCTGAAGTCAGGCGTGGGTAGATTTACCAGCAGGGGTTCGGTGTACACTCGCACAAAGTAGCTCGATTCTTCTTTGACTGGAACACTAGAAGTCAGAGGTGAAAATGTTACGATGAACCAAAACAAATAAAATCACACTTATTTACTATTAACCTGTTTATCCTTACAAACTGCTAAACAACGGTTGGTCTTGTGTGAAGTTGGTGTTCACTGCAACCATACTTGGCACAAGGGCGCTGACCACAGAGGACCTGCAGTAACATTTATGGCACATCATTCAGATATATAGTAGGGAGTGGCAGACAGGATGTGTAACAAATTCTTATATCAATAAAGACATTTTATCACATTTGAATTACAAAAAAAGAAAGGATCTTTCATAATACTTAATCAAGAGTCTTACCCAACGTAGAAGCCGTGGTTGGGATCAGGGGTGTACTCTGTCCATTTGAGCAGGGCCCTTTCAAACTGTACCGTGACCTCTGTCATCGAGTGAGGCGGTAACTGGATCAGCATCTCCAGTAGATGAGGACGATGGCGGTCTTTAGCGGGCTGGTAGTGAATGTAACCTACAGGACAAGCAACAAATGTCTAGAAACTCTTTATGGCCTTGAGACCTATTTCTGTCCACTAAGGATGATTTTAAAATAAGGATGGTTTAATAGCTTTAAACTTTGTACTTCTTCATTTTAAAAGAATGTTGACACTACATTTGCCTAGTCAAACGTTCCCTATCAAAAGCTACTCTCAATTGCCTTGAATTGATGGCTGTATTTCTGACCCTGAAGTACTTCCTCCAACACTTAAGGGACTACCATGTCCTAGAGCGGGTGGACAACACATCGGTAGACATACACATAAATCGCCAAGGAGGACTGCATTCGCACAGGTTCTGCTTTGGACTCAGGAAAAGTTTGTCCACTAGGGCGATTTACATCCCTGGGCATTTGAATATGTCTTTCTGTCAGGCTGTGACAATGGGAATGGAAATGCCACCCCGTGGTAGACAAACAGATTTGGGAAGAATTTCGTGAGGTAGAAGAGGACCTCTTCACCTGACAGTGCAATTTCCCCTCTAGTTATCTCTATCTCTGACTCACAAAACAAAACATAGAAAAGGTGGCTAATCCATCTGTCTTGGAAGCTCATTTGTTCAACAACAAAAAAACGCCTTTGCATGGGCTGGGCGCCATTGGCAAGCATGGCCAAGACTGCTTCTTTATCCATTTGCAATGATTTTCTGTTCCCGGAAGTCCTAGCCATGGTCCGTCAACTCAACAAGGATCTTGACTCTTATTGATGAAATAGGAGGTACCTTCTGTCTCAGGCACAAGGGACAATATCTCATCTCCGACCTTCACGTTTGGCCCCTGAGGGGGACCAACTGAGGGATGCTGGGCCTTCCAGCTGATGTTGTAAAGACAATTCTGGGTACCAGCACTCCCTCCACAAGAAGGATTTATGCCCTTAAATGGGAACTCTTTGAAAGATGGTGTACCGCACACTGTGCAGAGCCAGTTCACTACCAGATTGTTTGAGTGCTGGAGTTTCTGTAGGAAAAATTATCAGCATGCCTTGCAACTCTCAGGGTATCTGTGGCCGGCTGATTGACTTGTCAGTTGTCACACCCTTGATAGGTCTCCAGCCGAGAAGCACGCTCTGATCGCCCGCCTCATTTGTGGAGCAAGGCGGCTGAACCCTCCCATTAGAGAAAAGATTCCTTCGTGGGACTTGGCCGTGGTCCTTGAGGAGCTGGTCAAGACCCCTTTTTGGACCACTTGAGTTAGTTCCTGACAAGCTTCTGACTGTAAAGATGTTTTTTTTTTTCTTATGGCCATTACTTTTCTAAAGATAATTGGGGATTTGGAGGCTCTCTTAATTTCACCATCCTGCTTAGACTCTGCCCCTGGATGGGTCAAGGCTATTTTGCACCATTCTTGACCAAGCATCCAGTCGTTCTTGAAGCCTCCGGTCTTCCTCCGTTCACTTCACTGGAGCAGGAGAAACTTCACCTACTGTGTCTAGTTTGTGCTCTTCAGACTTACATCCACTTCACTAGCCAGTGGTGTAAGTCAGAGCAACTTTTCATTTGCTATGGGGCGGAGATGGCCACCACCAAAAGCAAACAATGTCATACTGGGTGTGGGATACTATTGTTCTAGCCCAGTGGTTCCCAAACTTTTTAGAGTGGCCTATCCCTGAGGGGTTTACCATCCTTCTGCATATCCCCTCTCTTGATGGTAAAAACAAAGTGATACTTTTAAATATTAAACTAAAACCACCATTAGGTGGCGGTAAGTGACTGCCTTAATGAGCGAGTCATCGAGTCAGTCATTCGTTCCGTAGCCAATTTCTGAATTAATCATTGAATGATTGACTCCGAGTTTGTTCAAAGCTGCAGATTTGTTTACGAAACACTGATGTGTGCTGTAGTTTTGCTGTGTCCTTCGTTGGAACTATTATTTCGTTGAAGTAAATACTGACAGTACAGTGTTTAAAATGCACGTTTTGTTTGTTAAACCGTTGTATAACATTCAATGTCACGTTTGCAATCGTGTAGATATTTGGGAACAGTTGCATTCTTGCTCGTTATCAACATTAAATACAAGAACTCACACATATTTTTGATATATCCTCACGCATTTCAATGACGTCAGAGGTTCTTAAAAGTTCTTGCCATGTTTGCCACACATACTTCACAACCGGTTAAACAAAGTTTTCCCATAGCGCTAACTCAGTGTAGCATCTCGTTCCCGCTTTTTCAGGGAACAGGGTTACAGTCAAATAACTACAAGACATTTATAAAAATAAATCATTTTTTTACATAAATAAATAAGTATACATGTTAATATACTGTGTTTTTGTAAGAAGTCTCACCAAGGCTGCATTTATTTGATAAAAAAAGGTGAAAATTAGGGCTGTGAAATGATTAATCGCATCCAAAATAAAAGTTTGTGTTTACATAATATGCGTGTACTGTGTATAATTATTTATTACCTCTGACGTAATTATTTATATATATATATATATATATATACACACACACACACGTATATTTAAGACAATTTATATATAAATATACACAGTATATATACAAGCAAATATTTTTTAAACATATACATGCATGTGTGATTTATATATACAATTATACACAGTACACACACATATTATGTAAACAAACTTTTAATCGTGATTAATCATCTCACAGCCCTAATACATACATACATACATACATATATATCATACATATAAATGCTGACTAAATTTATATTACAATACATTTAAAGAAGATTCAAGTGCCCATAATTGAAGAACTAAAACTATCAATAAATATATAAAAACAATACATAAAGTTTGGAATCCAAGATAATGGTAGAATAAACTCACTGGGTTTGTTATCACGTGACTTGCTGGTGACTGTCAGGGTGTGAATGTACAGCTGCAGATACCAGGGCACCGAATCCATCAGCAGTACAGGAAAAGCCCGATATGGGTGGTTATTATAGATGACTGTGTGAATTTCCCCTGTCTGCAGCCCAAAACCAGCCACGTACCGCTCTGCGTGAAGCAGAGGACGCAGCATATCACCTAAAGATTTAAAGAGTCACACATAAAAAATTAGTATG